AGACTTGAGGGTTTGGAACAATTTGATAAAGTTGCATACATAAATGCTTCTGATAACCACTTAACTTTAGGTAATTAAAGATTTTTTACGTTTTAAATTTTGTACATTTAATTTATATTTTATATTTAATATATTTTGAAATTTCTAGTGTGATGAAAATTGTTTGCATACAAAATATATATTTTGTTTCTAGAACCCTTTGCCAGGTTTCCTGCATTGAGGGAATTGGAACTGTCATTGAACAGTCTCCATAATTTAGAGATTCATGCTGAAGACTTCCAGAAATTGGAGGTGAGTTTTCTTGAATACTGGGCTGTGATCATATTTTGCTCTTGAAGTCTTGAAGCACATGTCACTGAGAATATTGTGATGATCAAAGAAGCTTGACTTTATTCATTTGTTTCAGGTGTTGGATTTATCCTTCAATAACTTAACGGGAGAAAGCATAATAAATCTAGGCCTGTTACCACGTCTGAAGGTGCTCCATCTGACTGGAAACCGGCTGCAGATGCTTCCACTCAATATGGCTGAACCTTGTACCTACTCTGGAGAAAAGTAAATGTTTGCTACTGTAGTTCCTTCAAAGACTTTATCTAGCATATGTTTTTAGAAATACTATGCTTAGTCTTTATTTAAAAGCATTGACTATTAAGTCAGAAGACAAAACGTAGAATCCACAGTCCAAAGTTTTCACTATAGTTTTGAATGTCTCTATCATATATAAAGTTTTCTTTTTCAACAGCACAGAACGGGGTGTCCTGCTATTTCAAACTCTGGAGGTATTGATGCTTGATGACAACAAATTATCTTCTCCGGGAGTGTTTATGAGCCTTGCTAACTTAAAGAGGTTAGTAAGCTTTTTATAAAGAAATAGCTCTGGCATTTCCAATATGTTTAAGTGAATTTCAGTCATATCAAATAAAAGTGACATTTCATGCAACAAGATAGTCCTGACTAGTTCTGCGTTGCATGTGACAGGTGCTTAAAGTAGAACCTTTTCCATAAACACCAGATGTATTTATTTATTTGTTTGTCTGTGCAGGAAAATTTTACAACAACAACCATAATAATAATCTTTTTATGAATGTAATAATAATTTGCCAAAATAGCAATGTTATTTAGCACAAAATAAATTTTGGGGTTGAACCATAGCACAACATTTGATACTTTTTTAATCCAAGAGAGGTGCTGTATATTTCACTGTACCGATCATGAAGGTCATCTTAAAAATGCAAGAATAAAAATGATGTTTCTATAATCCTAATTTTCTGCACAAAATGTGCAGTCATTACAATCAGTTATGAGAAACATTAGGTAGTCTATCAAGTTTATTTAATTCTTCTTGGTATAGACTGCCCTCTTGAGGCACAGCCACAAAATTTTAAACAAAACAATGCTGTAGCCCAAGGAAATTACTGGTGTTGTAAATATTAATGTGTAGTGATTAGATGGCCCTGTTTTGTTTTTAAATATTTAAAGTTATAAATTATAAACTAAAAAATTAGGAAAATGCAAAAGGGCAATATAAGCTCAAATTTGACATTTCTTTTTTTTTAAGAAACTGTGTGATTCTTTCATTCTCTGTTAAATTATTTTCTTTTTCTAATTTTAATGTATTGTGCATTTAGGCTTCGTCATCTAAATTTACAAGGAAATTACATCTCAGGAGTCCCATTCTTAGAAAAGGTGGCAACATTACAAGATGCCCAGACAGGCATTATGCCACAGAGCATCGGACAGAATGTGGCCACAGTGAATGACAAGAGGATAAAGTGTTAGTATATTTAATTTACAAAATAAGAATAATTTTAGGTTGGAAAACAAATTGTTTATGTGTTCATTTATTCACTTTCTCTGCCAGATAGATTCTGAAATGACGATGAGCCAGCAAAAACCAGAAAAAGCATTGAAAGTAGGATCGGCTCTCTTATTTTTTTATTTTCCTGTTTACATACGTCATATCAATTTATTTTCAATTTAGTAGAGATATATATCAGCATTTTACAATCTAACTTGCATCTCAAATAGGAGGACAAATCATGTCTCGAAATGCATTCTGGTGCCCTACAGTACTGTCATCAGAGAAAGGAGGACGGCTGCGCTCTGGGTCTCTGTCTACCTTTTCCAGAACTTCGTCATCTGAATTTGGCCAACAATGAGGTCTGTGTATTGCCTTCTGGCTGTTAAAAAGCATTTGATTTGCTACAAACATAGACAGCCGAATGAAGTCATTGACAGCAGAGCTATTTGCCACTTTTTTCCTCTAGATAGCTGAGGAAGAGGCATTGTTGCCCATGGCATTGTTTCCAAAGCTCAATGAGCTTGTTATTCACTCAAACCCTTTGACAACACAGAGGAGTGGTAAGCTCACACAATCCTCAGGCAGGCTCATTGTTAGTGCATTAAATCAACTAAATCTGACAAAAATGCACAGCTTTCTTTGTTTTTTTACTACAGGCGATCCACCAATGCTGACCTGTTTTCTTCAAGACAAGCTGGGTATTAAGATAACACGCAAAAAAACAACTGTTCTGATTAAGCGACATATCATACTCCCTGTCAGTCCTAAAAGAAAGGTGTCACAAATACACAAGTTTGGATTTGGCACTTAATATTTTTAAAAGTTAATCCTTTCAGAAGCGATTTACCTTCTATTTAAATTTTCAGGTGAAATCTACAGTTCCAAACGTACCAAAATTTCCTTTGATCACGGCAAATCAACATGCTACAGAAATGCTCCGCTCCACGAAATGTACTGGACAAGATAATCCTCTACCCTTAGAGTATGGGTTATCTCGTGTATTTGGCTTCTCGTCTCAAACAAGCATTGACGACGAGGAAGACATTGCCATAGGCCAGGAGCATTTTGACTTGACAAGTGCAGACATATTCTTTGAGACGAATCAAAATGCAGAGCCGTTCTTTGTGACAGAGGTAATTTTATTGCACCTTGAACCTAGGAGTCTACATATCAAGACTTGATATGTATGTTTGAAAACTTTTTTTTGTTTGATTTAATTTTACAGGTTAATGGCTTAAATTAATCTGAATACCAAGAAGATCCAGATGATGCAAGGGAAACCGAACTGGAGATGAAAAAAGGCAGCAAAGCATGTCCAGAAAAACTGATTGGTTATGAAATCTTACTTGATGACACATCTGAGCCAGAAATGCCTGAGCTTTCTGGTAGGAATTTTCCTGAACTCTGTTGTTGACCTCTTGCTTCATTTGAATCAGTGCTGTTTGTTTGCTCGTGTTGTCATTGACTTCTCTGGATGCAGGAATTCAACAAGCTGTTAGTGTTTTGGAGCACATGCTCAAGAACCTGCTCGTGTATAGAGATTCTAAAGCAAATCTGGACCTTCCACAGAAGCCGTACACCAAAAGAGAGAAAAAGGTCAGAGGTCATTCATCAGCTATATACAGTGCATTTAGCATGTAAACCCAACATCTGTTATTAATAACATGATAGAGACATTCTTTTCACAGATTAAAAATTTGCCACCTTTGGGACCAAAGAAGTCGAAGGGGAAAAAAGTTGAGGAACTTCTCGCCCAAATAAAGGAGGCAAAAACAATAATCAAAGTTCCCTTAGGTAACAGATACTTTGTCATTTTATAGCAGGGTTTGAAATATTCTTAGTCACTTATTTTTTAAAATGACAAAACCGAGATGGAATCCAGTGTAATTAAACAAGTCAAGCCTAGTGATGCAGCAGGAAATATTTTCCAATTGAGCAGCAAATCAATTTCATCATCAACTAGCACAAACTAGCATGTTTTACAGGTCAACTAACAAGCACACTGCAGAGATGTTATTGCGATTGTTCAGCAGTTTACTTTTAAATGCTCTATTTGGTTCTGCAGCTGTTCCTCTCTGTCCCTCTTCAATGGACTGATTGTAGATATGCCATCTAGGGAAACCTCCAAACTACTATTCAAACTAATATGAATAGATATTTCTGATATTAATCACATCATTGCTCATAGAATGGTATTAAATGCAACTTTATATATTCTCTATCCAGATAGTTTACTCGAAGGAGGGAATGGCATTTGTAAGAGAGAATACAAGGAAGCACTGACGCTACTGAAGGACATGAAAAGGAAGTACAGGACAGCCCATCTGAAAAGAGTGGAACAAGCAGCACAGATTGAGGATGAGATGATGTGTAATCTAAACTAACAGGTGCTTTACTCTCTGCTTATTCATTAATGAGTTGGTTTTAGTTTGCAATAAAACACTATTAAGATATTGGAGAGATGGTGACAATTTGTTTGATGTTTGTGTTGATTACAAATAAACTGTATATGCCATTGCTGTCAGATATATTGAGTTTGCAATAAATTTATTCTCATCATGTGCTGAGAGCTTATATATCTAGATGGGCATGTGTTTTACCTCACATTCTTCTCTGAAATTAACAGTATATTCCCTGAGGGATTGCCTCAAAGACCTATTTATTTATTTATTTTTGAAATTGTTAAATGAAAACAAAAAAAATTTATTTGAACACCAACATAAATGGACATGTTAATATTTACAACAGGACTAACTATAACAATGTGTAAGCTGCTTCAGAAAATAATTACATAATTTTTACATCATCAATTGTATTACATAAATGCTTTTATTATTTATTACATAAAATAGCTCTTATTAAATAAACATCAGCATAATATCAAATTTCATTTGCTTAAATCCATATACTGATACTGTGCAGCAGTTCACATTTTATTAAAAACTGAGCAGGAATATTTATCAGATATATCTGAGCAGATATTTACTACTGTCAATATTACGAATATTTTATTATTTATTATATACAATATTTTACTAAAAAAAATCAGAATAATATCAGATTTGACGCGCTTGAAGCAGTTCGCATTTATCATGACTGATTATTTATTTAAATAAATTTTTGAGCAAGTGGATTTTCCTGTAGGAGGCGCGTTAGATAAAAACCTAGAAGCGCTACAGAAACTTCTAGGAGTTCGAGAAGACAAATCCTGCATGTCCACAGTTTCCTGGAACATGAAGAAAAAAATGACCTACTTGAAACATCTTTTCATTTTGGTCACAATGCGATGCTTCGTTCAGTGTGAACCAGACGCAATACGACCAGGAAAAAGTAAGTGACTCCATCAAAGAATATGTTATTGGTAAATGGGCATCATTCTGCCAGCGATACGACTGCATTGAAATTGCTGTGTGATGAGGTTATATAATTCAAGTTCATTTATAACGGCGCTTTAAATGTTTTAAAGTCATTAAAACGGATGACATTTCGTGAAAAGGTGCCTTTTGTGTCCTTCATTAATATGTGCAAACAACAATATTATTTCATTAAGACAACAAAAAAAATCCAGTAACAGCATTTTATTTATTTATTTCGTCCTTTTTCTCAATAAGAATGCCTTTTTGGTCTCCCCAGCCATATTTGCTTATAATGTTGTAATTAGTACCCCTTACTATATTTGTAGGTTTTAGTGAACATGATATTTTATTAAAAAGTCTTAAAAATATGTCTCCAGGTAATTCGTCAAATATGTTACAACTCTCCCTGTACAATTCAGTATATAAAAACTGTGAAAATGACATCATCATCCTATGAGGATTTTTATCACTTTATCACTTATGTTATATTTTGTCAGGTTTGTTAATAAGAGACCCTGTTTTTTTGTAGTACACAAAAGTTTAAGTGTCATAGTGTCATCTTTTAGTGGAATGACCTTGGGAAATGGCTAAATAAACTAAAACTGTTAACCCTGTTTTATATTTAGAATTTTATGCTATTCTTGAAAATCAGATGATTGTATGTTTGTGTTGTATGCAGTGTCAGGTGTTTTCTGCACTTTTAAAGAGAAGGCGTACAGGCCAGGAGATAGCTGGCATCCCTATCTGGAGCCCTTTGGATTCATGTTCTGCATGCGCTGTACTTGCACAGAAGTACGTATCCAACTTCCAAGTCTAAATAATGACTTGGAAAAAGTTTTCATATGCATTGTTTTTTTACCTAAAGGATACAGGTGTTCCTATACAGTTTGTATACATGCATGTAGGTGCATGCACATGTCAGATCCACATGCTATGTATATTATGTCAATGTTTCTGTCTACTTTCATGTGGGTGTATGTATAGTTTGGTCATGTGAAATGCAACAGCATCAAATGCCCTGTTCTGCGATGTGAAAATCCAGTGACTAACTCACAGCAGTGTTGCCCTCGTTGTTTAGGTAAAGCATCACACTTTTCCAGGTCCCGGTGTTTATGTGAATTGATATTAATGATTCTAATCCATTCTTATTTGAACCATCTGATGGCTATTCTTATAATCACAGATGAGCACAGAACTCCTGCTGGTCTACGGGCACCCATTGAAACCTGTAGGTATAATGGAAGCACTTACCAAACAGGGGAAACATTTGCCAACCATGAGCTCTTCCCATCCCGTCAGTCGAACCAGTGCGTCATGTGTACTTGCTCTGTAAGTATTTATTTTATTTTTTTTGTAATCTTTGTTGTTGCTTTCACCATAGTGCATCATTGAACATGGGTCTCTAACCTCAAACAGTTTAAAAAATCCTTTATAGTATAGTGTTTTGAAAGATGGTGTCGGAGAGCAGGCGTAAATACAGTAGAAGGGAGTGCTAGCAATGCCAGACTCATGGGTTCCATGTATACCTCAAATGCAATGTAAGTTGTTTTGGATAAAAGCCTTTGAAGATTAAGCAATTAAAGTAATAATGTCTTCTTAAAGAAATGTTTGGTTTTAGGATCATAATTTTATTTACAATAAATTATTTACTATGCAGAATTTAAAAAAGCTAAGGCTCCTTCACTCAGAAATAAAGGTACAACAGCGGTCACTGGGGCGGTACCTTTTCAAAAGGTTCATATTTGTACCTAAAGGGTCCATTTAGGTACCTTAAGGGTACATATTAGTACTTAAAGTGTGCATATTAGAACCTGTACAAAAGTGACAGCTGTTGTACCTTTATTTCTGAGAGTGTTCCACAGTAACATACTGTATGTTATTGAGACATTTTCTGACCTGATTTAATATCGATATAAAAATGTCAGTTATCCTTGCTTTGCCCCATGTTGTCAGGCACTGATGTTGAGGTGCTGATTTGAATCATGTCAATTTCAGATTTTTAATATTCTTTTTTTAAAATCTCATTCTTTTCCATTAAAGAATGGAAATATATTCTGTGCATTGAAAACCTGTCAGCCCATTACATGCTCCTCACCAGAGTCAGTCCCGGATACTTGCTGCTTAGTGTGCAAAGGTGAGGATATATGTGCAATTTAGAATATTGTAGGTGTAAATACTACTGAGATTTATTAATTTTAGACATTGGATGAAATTGGATGCTACAAGCTGTATTCATGTTTAATTCCACCCCTGATTGTGCTGATTAAATAACATTGTCTCCTTTGAATAAACAGAAAGTGCAATTGATATCAATTCTGCATCATTTGAGGACGGAGGACAACAACTGAACAGAGGAGTTGTATGTATTTTCTTTTTCAGGGGACTCACTGTACTCTTTAATCCTGTATCAAATATCTAAATTATCAATATGATCAAAACTTGACCTGATTTACACAGTCTACTAAATACCTTCTGTGATCTGATTGATAGTTTATAGGGTTTTTTTTAGAAAGTAAAAGGTCTTTTAGTGTAATTCTAAAAAACCCTTCAGGTTGTGGTACATGTATTGCATTATATGTTTTGCCCCCCACAATAAAAACTACAGAGCTTTGATCATAAAACTATCAAGCATTAAAATATCATCTTAATAAGACATATATTATTGGGAAATATATAGTGACAACTGATATTTATAAGCATTTTTTAAATAGTCTGCTACTGTATCAGGATTTCATCTTACTTTTTGGCCATATAAATATCATCAGCTGCAATAAATTGCATATTTTTTTGCTTATTTGGACCTTTGAATAAAATTGAGGTGTTTTTTTCTGCTTGAGTATGAGCCTCATATTGTACTATATCATATGAACCATTAAAGCCTGATGTATATATGATGCTCAACTAGATTTATATATATATATATATATATATATTATTTTGAATGTCAGTGTTTACAGGGTTAAAATGTGTTTTATTGTTTCATTTATGCAACTCTATGATAGTCCAGAGTTACAATATTTGTTTTTATATGTCCTGAAATACAAGAGGCATTCTGTGGATCAGTGTGCTGCGGAGCAGGTCAGGGGTCACTCACTTAGGGCCACGCCATCGACACTGCGGGGGTCTCCCAGAGGCCTCAACCTACAGACACTACACCTCAAAGGAGCTGCCGAAACTACTGTTAAAATTCTTCTACAGTGCAAACATCAGAGAGGTAAACTGTAATGCACCACTCTTTCCAAATCAAGAATTGCTTGTCAAAATCCAATGAAGTCATATCCTGTCAAAGTAATGTAGGTTTTCTGACTTTGTCTAAGCTTGTGTGTACAGTGGCAAGACCTATTCTCATGGTGACGTGTGGCACCCGGTGCTGGGGAAGGTCTTGGAGTGCATCCTGTGCACCTGCAGGGACGGCTTTCAAGAATGCAGACGCATCACGTGTCCCAACCAGTATCCATGCCAACATCCCATAAAAATAGAGGGGAAATGCTGTAAGATTTGTCCAGGTAGGCGTATCAGTGCTATTATATTTGTAATGATTTAAACTTCATGTTTTATCAGTGTGTTTCTTTTAACTTGGTTTCCAGAGCTCAAAGCAGAGAGCAACAGGACAGAGTGCTACCTTACTCAGGACAATAACAGTCTCCTGGTGTATAAAGTTGAACCTCCTTCAGCTGCTCAGTCAGAAGATAAAGTACGGATGATTGCCATCGAGAGACAAGGAGCCACGGAAGTAGAGGTGCAAGTCTGGAAAACTGTTGAAGGTGATTTATGCAAGTTATAATGTAGACCTATTGTTGGAGACCGTCTTTCTCTTTTCTTTCACTTTACTAGATTTCTTCCAAATTCTTAGTCAATGACCTAGATAGGCAATTTTATAAATCTTTGCCGGTTCTCAGCGGCAAGACAAGGTTGCGTATTATTGCTGTATGCCACTGGAATTATGTTTTTTGTAACACTTTTTCAACATTTTTTGTACAGTAAGGTTCTATTTGTTAACATTTGTTAACTACATTAGTTAACATGAACTAACAATGAAAAATACTTGAAAGCATTTATTAATCTTAGTTAATGTTAATTTCAACATTTCTTAATATATTATTGAAATCAAAAGTTGTGTCTGTTAATATTATTGAATGGACCTCACCTAACATGAACTAACAATCAACAGTTGTATTTTTATATAACGTTAACAAAGATGAATAAATACTGTAACAAACGTAATGCTCATTGTTAGTTAATGCTAGTTTATGCATTAAGTAATGGGACCTTATTGTGAAGTGTTAACCATGTTCCCTTAAATTTTCTTCAAATCTTTGCAGGTGTTTTGCATCTGATGGAGACAGGTGACGTTCAGAAGAAAGACCTCATAGAGCATCCGGAAAATTACATCTTGCTGACTACATTAGATGAGGGTATGCTTAATTCTTTTCATTTCACCAAATTAAATTTGTGTTAGTTTGCAATTACTGCTTTCTGAGACACAGAAAGTCATAGCATTTAAACATTCAACTGTGTATTTTGATAGTTAAAATTGAGTTTGAATTGAACACGTTTTTTGGTAAATAAAAGGCAAACTTATTGCTCTCCTTATATGTCAACCTACAATATGTCTTAAACAGCCCTGAAAACTGAGATTCTAGGTATGAAACTAAATATTTGAGCTCAGAGTAGTTACAGCTGCCAGGTAATATGAGAAGGTGGAGGAGACCAAAGGAAATTGAACATGTCTAACATGTAAATTAAAGAAAGGTTTTTGATTTACTTTTTTACAAATCTTCTGTCTATTTCAGCAAGTCACTCTTAATGCATTTTGTGTGCATTGGCTGTGTTTCAAATTAAATGCAGAACAGACTTACTCCTGTTTCACACTGCACACTAAAGCAATTTTGATGGTTTTTGTTGTATGCATTACAGTATTTACACTGACAGAAATCACTTTTTTATGTGTGGAGATTCAATTAATTTGGAAGCCCATTTCTGCCACAGCATAAAAAAATTAAAAAGGTAATTTCAACTTTTTTCTTACAATTTAGAGTTTACATCTCCCAATTTTGACTTTTGTGCAAAGATTGTGAGATGTAAACTCAGAAATCAAAGGAAAAAAAGTCAGAATTGTGAGTTATAAACTTCTTTTTGAGTTATTTTTTCTTGCAATTCTGAGTTTACATCTCACAATTCTGACTTTTTTGTTTCTGCTATGGAATTAAAACATAAAGGTAATTGCAACTTTTTATCTCACAATTCTGACTTTTATTCCCATAATTATGAGTTTATTTCACCTGATTTAGATTAAAAATAAATGTTCTCAGTCTTCGCAAAAAAAAAAAGTCAGAATTTGTGAGATAAAAAAAGTCAGAACTTAGATTTAGATTCAGATTCTAAACTCAGAATTCAGACTTTTTCTCAAAATTCCAATTTTACACAATGCTGACTTTATATCCCGCAATTCTGACTTATTTCTCAGAATTTTGATATGAAAGTTGCTATTACCTTTTTTTTTTTTTTTTTTACCCCATGGCTGAAACAAGCTTCCATACAATTCAGATGCAGCTTTCAGTGTAAACACACAAACCCTAATGCATTTCTCCATTGCTTTGCCTTTACCAACTTAATTTTTCCCAGTTTGGACTGTCCTTTCCTTTTTCTGTTTGCACAGAAACTTGGAGAAAATTCAAAGAAGAAGAGGACAAGCAGAAAGATTTGAGTAAGATTAGGAGCTGTGAAGACGGGATCAAGGAAGTGGTGAAGTACTTAAACCCTGAACAGCTGGACAGCCTTTGCACTTCTTAGTCTCCTCCCCGCTCTAACACTGTGCCATCCCAGTCTGACACTCATTTTATTACCAGAAGAACACACACTCCCACACTCACACAATGTGCATGTAGTACAAAACCAGATGCTGGCAGCAGGTAGTCTAAAGATCTGGTTTATTACTATGAGTCAGTTTAGCGCAAGTCTTTATGAGTTTGACATCCCAGAATTCTTTCTGAGACCTGTTTTTTTTTTCCAGAGGCCTTGAGGTCATTCAATTTTCTTGCATTGTTGCAAAATGCATGTTTGATAAGTGAATAAATATATGCTATTTGGCCAGAATTATAAGGACGAAAGATTTTAAAGCAATCATCATCATCATCATTAAAGGAAATGATGTATGTAATTTTAGCAAGCTTCCACTGTATGTACATAAGAGGGAATAAAAAGGATGATGTAGACAGCTTATTGGCCAGAATGCTTTTATAAAGTTGACATAGGCCACATATTTTTCTACTGTTCTTAGATATATGCTACTCATCTTGTATATGTAATATGGATAAACTAAAAATACACAATTTATTGTAAAGTCAAAGCAGCCAACATCATCTTTACTTCAATAGAATATTTTTCTGCCTATCTTCTATGCCGAAAATGTTTTGCATTGTAATGAATGTAGCGTGTATATTGATCTGGTTATGTATAACTCATATGCACTTAAAATGATGAAAAATATATCGGGCTGATGTCCTGGCTAACTAATATAAAATCCTATTGAAAGATTTTCTTAATATTTTTTTATAGACTGTTCTTATGTTATTGTTTTAAAAAGATATTATGGTATGGAAGCCCATTTCTGCCAAAAATAAAAAAGGTGATTGCAACTTTTTATCTCAGAATTTTGACTTTTTTTCTCTGAATTCTGAGCTTACATCTCGCAATTCAGTTTTTTTTTCTGCAATGAAGTTTGTAAAAAATAAAGTTAATTGTGATCTTTTATCTCACAATTCTGACTTTTCTTCTCAGAATTACAAAATCACAATTGTAAGTTATAAACTCGTAATTGCGAGTTAACATCTTGCAATTCTTATTTTATTTCTCGCAATTCTTAAAGAAAACCATTCAGAATTGTGAGATATAAAGTCACAATTACCTTTTTTTTATTGCGGGTGGAAACGGGCTTCCATATTATGGCCTAATGCAGTAAGTATAAAAGAATCACAGGTTCTTTGCTGTAAATGTAAATAATGTTGGGTTTTGCAGGCATTTAGGTATCAAACATCCATATACTAAAACGGGTCATTAGTTCACGTGATCATTGATACTGATGAGACACGTTTTATAATGTTGTAAATGAGAAGCAGACATGATGGGATGTTTACCTTGAGCTGGAACGAACAATCCTTTGCGGCAAGTTAGTCATCATGATGGGCTCCTGACATCGTTTGTTCTTCAGTCGTGTTAATCACAGTGAACCAAGACGGGCCACCGAACCCAGATTGGGGCAGTTCAGGGAGTTGTGATTAATATCCCCTCTCTCCAGATCCCAAAGCCCACTTTCCTCTTCTGTCAATGAGTCATTGTGCTGGCCGCACACAAAGTGCCAGACGGTGCTGTTCATCTCTCACTGAAGGCCTGACAAAATATTTTGAAACAGAAGCCCCTCAGTTGCAGACCTTAATAGTCACACAATGAAGCTGTGAATTATTTCCGCTAGCTGTTGGATCTAACAGTTTTTGGCAATTTGTTCTCTTTGAACAGCTTTGGAGGGAGACAAAGGGGATTTTGCTGTGTGCTCCTATTTCATTTTCTCTCTTTTGTGTATGTTAGTTTAAGGGGATGGTCGGACATCCCGTTTGATCCGTATACACAGGCCGTTGTTTCACAAAAAGAGCCCTTTGTAATGTTGAGAACCTTTCGATTTGTTATGCCTGTGCTGATTTGATGGAGTCTGAAATGGTTTCAGCTCCGTGGGGTTCGACACTTGTGAATTAGATTTTTAACGTAGTTCTTTTGGCACCTTTGCTTTTGGCTAAAGGTTTTGAATTCCCAATAAATAGCATTCAGCTATGCATGCTTAGTCTTGGCTCTGGCAATCTGAACAGCTGGGGGCAGTCACTGGGTATAAATCAGGTGAATGGGTCAGTTCTCTGTGTGAGTTTTCCTGCTCAGCTTTTCTCCCCATTGTTGCATGTAAAAGTGTAAATGGAGTTACGTTTTGTATCACTGCGATGTTGGGCAGCTATTTAAAAGCCAGCTAGTGCGATTTGCCTTATTATTCTTGGATTTATGTCATAGCACATCCTAGATAAGGGCAGGTAATAAAACCAGACAAATATGCACTAGTGGACGAAGTATGCTTGAGTAAAAGTACAGATATCCTAATAAAATACTACTCCGTAGTCCTTTTCATTTTACTGTATGAAAAAACAAAATACCTTTTTTTTTTTGCAAATTTAAATACTTCATCCTACAAAAATTAAGATTTGTGGATGAAGACGTTGAATATGTATTGATCTGCAAATAAGCAACCATTTTATTTTATTACCAAAAAGTACACTATCAAAACATTAAAATTCAATATTTAAAAATATAAATTGAAGTTACTAATAATTCATCAGTAAAAAATAACAAAAAATTAAAATATAAAATATAGTATTTAAAGGAGACATATTATGCCCCTTTTATACTCCACTCCACAGTACTCCACAGATCATTTATTATATCATTTTGAAAATGCCTATTTTGAGTTGAAGCAGAAACATGCTGTTTTTCGGCCTGTCTCTTTAAATGCAAATAAGCTGCTGCTCCCCGACCCCTTTACATCTGTTTTGGTTCTGATTATCATGTTTATCCCGCTGAAATCATGCGTTTTAAACCATATTAGTTTAAACTTCTGATATACGGTTTTCTGAGAGCACACATCCGAAGCACATGGAAAGAAAGCTGCCACCAGCATGAGTAAACTAAGTTCTCATTCACACACAAGTTTAAGTTAAAAACACACGAGTTACAAAAACCGTCGGTTATGTCTGTGAAGGGAAACAGCTGGGAAATAAATCGCTTGTTTGCTCGTCTGTGCAGCTAAAGACAGAACAGTTAGCAAGTTTTGCTCAAACTTTTGCAATGGCATTAGAACTGGTACACCGTTGTCGCTTGCGAAATCAAATGAAGGCACCATGGCTGGAAACGTACAGATTAAGGGGCGGTAATATTATAATGAGATCCCTTTGCCACGTCACCAAGGGAGCGATATCAGACGTGCTCGTTTTTTCAGACGCTTGCAGAAAAAGGCTTACCAAAACAAAGTTACTGGGTTAATCTTTTTCACATTTCCTTGGTTGGTAGATGCACCGGGGACCTGATTATAGCACTTCAAACCTGGAAAAGTCAGATTTTCACGATATGTCACCTTTAAAATGAAGAAACAAAATGCATGTGAATGTGTGGTGAAAATAGTATAAACTTACAATTTTAACACAGACATCACATGGGGCAAAGAGCTAAGATTTTAACAAGAATGCAGTGCAAACATACTAGTTTTATATTATTTAAAAATTGCTACAGCAGCAGGGAAGATGCATGGGGATTTTTTTGTGTTATTTTAATGTTATTTATAGTTTTTACCTATTCTTGCACATTTTGAGTCAGTCATGAACAGGTGAATTGTTACTGGATGCCCGCTCTAACTGGATCATGGAATCTTTTGAGTTGTTGGCTTGAGAACAGCTACAATAGGATCTGCCCAAATGAATCATTCAGTGCTATTTTTAACCCGAATCAACAGGTTAATGAAAAAGAATCAGTTTGTTCGTGAGTTGGACATTGCTATTGCATCTCAGTGGTGATTTCCACAGTTCAAAATAACAAGTCATATTTTATCAAATGTAGTGGAGTAAAAGGGATGAGATTATGCTTTGAAATGCAGTGAAGTAAAAGTTTCCCAAAATAAAATAAAGAACAGGTGCTTGAAAATTGTACTTAAGTTCAGTAACAAAGTAAAAATACTACGGTTACTGTCCACCACTCGAATATGTAATGTTTCTGCCTCTGAACTGCTGCTCTGCACGGCGCCTGGAGATTCACAGTCTCTAAGCAACTGAAACAAGACTCAAAGGTGTCACAGTCTTCAGCGGGTGTGCCCAGGATGGCCACCAGATGACACTGTTTTCTGTGAGCACATGGCTTGTGTTGTGTTTGTTTGGTGCCATGTGCTCTCTCCTGTCTATTGTCTTGCCCCGCCCATCTTGTTACCTCATTATTGTTTAAGTTGCTCCACCTGTGTCTCCCTCGCTAGCCTCCTCATTTGGTTTCCTATTTATTCTCCTGGTGTCTGTAATCCTGTGCTGATCCGTCGTTTTTCATTGTGTGTGTTATGTCTGCGTGTAGTGCAGTTTCTAGCTTGCCTGTCTGTTTTTCCCCCTCTGGGTTGTTTTAGTTTGTTTTTGTTTCATTTTATTATTAAAAGAAAGAACCATTCATCCTGCACTTGAGTCCTCGCTTCATCTCTCCACACGCACCGTGACAGAACGGATCAGCCAACATGAGGACTCAGCGGAGAAATGGCTCACTCCATCTACCGGTCTCCACTCTCCAGCCCCCTCTACCAGTGCATGCTCCAGCTGGATACCTTGAGCTCCCTCCGTCAACGAGGGACTGATCTGAGGGAGTTTGCCATGGAGTTCAGGAATGCTGCAGAGGGGCTGGGCTACAATGACTCTGCTCTTAAGGACTTATTCAGTTATGCCCTTGATGAGCCCATTAGTCACTGGAGCATGTCAGGATGCGATCATGTATCCTTTGAGGGGTTTGTGGCGTTCTTGGCACGTTCCCCAGCTAAGGGGGCTGCAGTGCCTCCCGTGATGGCCGACAAGGCTGCAGCACCCCCGAAGGTGGCCGACGAAGCTGCCACGCCCCCAGTGGTGGCCGACAAAGCTGCCGCGCCCCCAGTGGTGGCCGATGAAGCTGCAGCGCCCCCGGTGGTGGCCAAAGAGGCTGCAATACCCGCCGACGAAGCTGCAGCATCCCCAGTGGTGGCCGACGTGGTTGCAGCGCCCCCGGAGGCGGCAGACGAAGCTGCAGTGCCACCCTCTCGGAAACTGCGGAAGAATGGGTCCGCCTCACCACCCCTAGAGGTGGCCGAAGAGGCTGCAGCGCCCCCAGAGGCAGCCGATGAAGCTGCAGCGCCCCCGGTGGTGGCCAAAGAGGCTGCAGTGCCCCCGGAGGTGGCAGACGAAGCTGCAGTGCTACTCTCTCGGAAACGGAGGAGGAAGAAGGAGGCTTCTTCCGTCCTTCAAGGCCGGGAGGCCTTCCTAGAGCCTGGTGCCCTGCCGGCTCTGCCCAAGCTCAAGCTCCATGCCCTGCCGGCTCCGCCCAAGCTCCATGCCCTGCATGTCGTCATAATCATTTACTCACCCTTGTGTTGTTCCAAACCTATATCTTTTATTTTTTTTCATGGAATAAGAAGGGAAATATTTTGAAGAATGCCCATGTTGCTCTCTTGAGAGTTTTACGCCTTGGAAAATCTTTCTTGCTTATGGTCATCATTCACTTTCATTTTATGGAAAAGAGCAGCTTGGATCCTGCTATAAATAACCCCTTTCGTCTTTCACAGAAGAAAGGAAGTCATATGCGTTTTAAAAAACATGGTGACAGAATTTAAATTTTTGGGTGACCTATCCTTTTATGATCATCCCTTTTACTGAAACTCTGTATATAGTGTAAATGGTGAAAGTTTTGCCAAAATTAAAGTATTATTAATATAACTAAAATTTACTCCTAAACAACACTAATTTAAGTGGGAACAGACTGCATAGCCTTTGCCATGGAAAACAATAATTAAGCCACATCAACCCATGATGGATGGGTGTCATATGGCCGGTTAACTAATATGACTGAATGAAGATGTGAAGTGTTTTAGAGATAATCAGGGCTTGTATTTATGCCACGTTTAGCACATGTGTAGTGTTTCAGTGCATTCAGTGACATTTGTAAAACGATCACAGGCTCCATTTGGTAATCAGAGTAAGAAAAATAAAAATTTTTGCTTGATTTCAACAAGACAAACCCAGATGTGAGGCACCCCACACCCTAAAAATAACCCTAAAGAAATCAAATCCCAGAAAGGTGATGCGTGCGCTGCCTTTTCCAATCATGCTCTGCATATTTTCCTGTTTTGACAAAGAACAGTGGTTCTTCAGCCAAATGCAGTTATATCATCCCGTCAGACAAGTGTGTGTAAAAATCTGCTTTCAATTAATACACAATGATTTATTCTTTTAAGAGCTCTGCATGAGAACAGTGAGGGGGATTAGAAAAATAAATCACTACTCAAAGTATGAGGTTATTGCTGTTTGATGTATTTTGTTGGCGTTGATCTAAAAAGCGAGACTCTCTCATGCCCGCAAGCTCTGCCCGCACTTAAAAGGCATCTTCAGAGATGCAGATTCTCTGTATTAATTGTTTTACACTTAATGAACTTTTATGAGGGACTGTACAAATTTCAAAAGGAACTTAAAAATGGCAAACATCTTGAGTTCAAGTACTTGCTTAATGGATTATTCCAACCACAAACAGGGTCGATGTGCAAAAGCGGGAGGAGTCACATGGGTAAATATGTAACTAATTAAAATGAATATTCAGTAGTGAGCGGATAGTATTTGTCACGTTTGAGTTAGGAATGGCAGAATAGGAAAAACTTGTAAGCTGAACCTCCAAAAGCCCTTCTGATTTTGTCAGATGTGTATTTTTACATGAACAGAAAAGACAGTGGAACAAAATATGAAGCACTAAAAAATATTTAATGGCTTTACAGAGTGCCCGAGGCCTGTATGAATTTAATAATGTGGGTTCACTTGATATATTTTGAAAATGCCTATTGATTTATTCCACCTGGGCTGAAAAATACATTCCACCTCCAAGCGGCTATTCAAGAACAATCTAATTGAAATCGTACAGTGGCCAAAAACATTAAATCACATGGATGGACAGAACAAGATTGGGAGAAGTGAAGAGCTGAAGTGTTACACAAATGGAGTGTTACATAAATAAAGATTCTTGCCACAAAGTTTTTTTTGTCTTTAATGAAAAATAAACCTTATGGAAGCTCATTTCCTCTGTGGAATAAAAAATATCTCACAATTTGGACTGTTTTGGACTTTTTTTTATTTGCAATTGTGATTTTATATTTTTAAATTCTGACTTCTCAGAGTTGAGTTTATCTTGCAATTCTGACTTTACATTTCACAATTCTGAGAATTCAGTTCTCAGAATTGTGAGAAAGGAGTCAAAATTGTGATATAAATAGTCCCAGTTACCCTTTCAAGGGGTGTTTTTGTGTGTGTGTGTGTGTGTGTGTGTGTGTGGAGGATGCCTTCTTCCATACATATTTCTTCACGTTTTATAAAAGCATTGTGTAATATCCTATCTCACCAGACGACGGCGCTCTTTAGGGGACAGGTCACCAAATCTCTGTCATCATTTACTCACCCTCAGGACTCTCCAAACCTGTATTCTTTCTTCTGATGAATCTAACATATCATTTGACAAATCAAACATAGTCAATGGGGTCCAGTGTTGTTTTGGACAATAGAAAATAGACAAAAACAGTTCTTCAAAATATTGTCAACACTATTAAAACAAGCAAAATTGTTAACACAACAAAAATGATTGGGGTATGTTTTACAAGAAAATGTTTTACTCAAAAATGTAACATTTAAGTAACTGTAATTTCTGAGTGAACATTATTAAGTGTATTTGCACAAAACAAAGTCAAAAGGGTCATAAGAAAGTCACAAGTGTTCGAAATTACATGAGAATGAGTAAATCATGGCATGAATATCTAATAATTTAGCCAGTATACTTAATCAGGGTGCAAAATGCACTTTTTCAATTGAATGCAGTTAATTTTTTTTTTTTTACAATGTTCCATTATTGTTGTGTATTAGTGGTTTTATGCAAACCAAAAGGATCCAAACAGGTAGCTGAACAAGTGCACCTTTGAAGACTGAAGGTAAACCTCTAAACAGTTAACCGCACTCTCCCAAATCGTAGGCGAGCCAAAACCATTGCCGCATTTTTCCAACGACAGCTATGCAATCGAGCAAAGGATTTTCTCAGACGAGGCACCTAAAATTTTAAACGGCTGTTTGATAAGGTATCCAGAACAGGCTCCTCACCCCAGTCTACATCTGACTGCCCAGCGAGAGGCCTGCAAGGGTGAGCTAAGGGAACGAGCGAACACCTAACTGCACAAAACAAACAAAACCAAATTGTCTTCCTTCACAGAATGTAGCTGGATAAGGTAATTAGTGTCAAGTTTTTTTTTCTTTTACATATCAAATGATCACAAGGAGGAAAAAAAAAACCGAGTATTTAATAAACAAAACAACCAGAAATTCTCACTTTGCTGAACCTCAGGTTTAAAGGCACAATTACAAAATGTTTTACAACAATATAAAGAACACTGGTCTAGAATTCACTCGCACATACTAACTCAGGCCTAAGTTTAGAAGCCTTTCCTGAGGGAAAAAAGTGAGTTCATGGGGAATGATGTCTTGGCACAAAACGCTTAATTTCACGTCTGTGGCACAGGATCAGAAGAGCTTGGACTGATTTTGATGTGCATTTCCAGAGGCATGCCTTTCCACACAGTAAGTTTAGTTTTGATAAATGGAAATGTCCAAAATCAACACAACTATGGAGCCAGAAACTGATGTCACGTAGAAATATGAAGCTCGGAGAAGAAAACAACTTGACTCACAGGAACCAAAGACGGCAAGACAAAAACTTTTTCTTGACCACTGAGCAGGTTTTTAAATGACTTCACTCATGAATATCAGAGAAGTTTCTGGCTAAACCAACTAATATTTCTTTCACAAGAATATTAATCCAAACAAAAAAATATATATATTTGAATTTTTGATTTATTATCCAGCAACATACTAAAAATAGACAATGACAAAATAAGACTGGACAATCCTTACAGTACGGGAATTATTGGTGATTGGCCATGTGCAGTTTGCCTTATAGTAAGGAAATCTGCTAGATCAGCAGGATCATACATTTACATACTACAATCATATCAGGCACAGAACTGAAATCCAGCATGTGAAGATAGCACAAAATGGTCGTTCATGTAGAAGCAAAAAACTCCTATGTAAATGTCTCTGAAGAGTGACAGTGACAATGAAGACATATTTACAGCATCACATATGGTTCATGGGAATGTCAATGCTGAAAATTAAGCGCTTAAAGGGTTATTTCACCCTAAAAATGAAGTCACTATTTCTTCATCCTTATGTTGTGTTATTTTTTTCTGTGGATTTTTTCCCTCCTCTTTAACAAATTTTATGAAGAGAAAAAAACCTATGCAGTGATTCATGATGTTATGGAACAACATGAGGATGAGTAATTAACTACAGTTTGCATTTCCAGGTGAACTATTCCTTTAAAAGTCCATCAAAGAATAATAAAAAAAGTTATTTCTTCTGGAAAAATCCCATGATGGATGGCTGTTTTGTAGGTTTGTTAGCAGTAGAGGTCTTCTTCTGACTCTTTACTTTTTTCTCTTCCTCTCTTTTTCCAAATGACTGCTTGAGTGAGCTTGAGTCCTTGGCTTGACTGTTGGGTTCAGGCTCCTCTTCATTCTCAGAGTAAGACTCACTCACATAACCCTTCTCGGTCACTAGGAAAACAGAAACATTGGTTATTCATAGTCAGAGACACTGTCAAGATGCGTGTGGTAGATATAAATGTCTGGTTTGGGGTTCTATACATAGGCACTTGGATTTACTTTTTATAGAGATTTTGCAAAGTTGCCATTCTTTTTGGCCAAAAGAAAGTTCCTTAGGCACTAAAATTAATATTAACAGCTTTCACATTGTGCTTATTATGTCTTAAAGTACTGCCTCTGTAGACAACACGCTAGGTTTAAGAACAATACACATTCCTGGCTCCACTATAAATCTGGGTCTGGTCAATCATGTATAATAACAAACAAATAAAGAAAAAAAAAAAACACGAAATTAATTTAGTTACCATACAATAAAAAAAAAAAAAAAAAAAAAAAACACGAAATTAATTTAGTTACCATACAAAAAAAAAAAAAAAAAAAAAAAAAAAAAACCCACTTCAAAGAGTTTTTATACCGAACAGACAACTGGCAATAAGGAATGTGTAATATTAGACACTGCTAAGTAAAAAAAATATAACACCAGTGGTTTGAAGTTATATAAATCAACTTGTGCTTTTGGTCTTCAAATACGAAGATTTCCTCCACATGAACATAAAGTCAAAAATAATCAGGACTAATCAGTTTCAGCAAAAATAGTTTGCCAGCTGTCTGTATTTCTGCCACATAACTTATGATTTACTCAGTGGCTTAAGTGTTTCTGTCAGCGCTTATAAATTATGTGCTTATAAAAGTAAAGAGAGAGTCCAGTCACTGTTATGCACGGCTATTTAAAGGAATCTTCCAGGTTAAATAGGAAACAAAGAGTAAGCATAATGTCAATTACCACAGAAAATAAACTTTTAAAATACTGTGCATTGTAATATTTACTGCCTGGCCCTGTTTACTTCTACTGTAAGTCCTTTATTGTAACTACGAAAAGAATAAAACTGAGATGAGCAGAAAAAAAATTCTGCGGTAACTGACAGAAATGCCACAAATGCTGTCGATAAAACATAGCTCGCATTGAACCCAACTGTTAAATACGATGAATTTTTAAAATCATTATCCTTTATATTACATATTTGATGCATTTGATGGTACATGTATGTGGAGCTGATCAAGACTAGTGGTTGACCGATATATATCAACTGATATTTGGCATTTTTTCAGCATCTGGCGATATGCTTTTCTGTTTGGCCAGCATTTATTTTGACCGACTAGACTTTTATTTTGAAAGCGCTAAGAATGCTTGTTTATTTTTCAGATTTTTTTTATCAAGTTATATATTTTTTATATTGATTTATTTTTTCATTATTTTAATTTACAAAATATGTCAAATAAATATAAATGTCATTACAGCAATTGTTAATAGGGGTGCTCCGATTGATCGGCTACCGATCACAATCGGCCGATAATTGCTTTGGGATGATTGATCGGCGGTCTCTAAAAAGGCCGAGCTCATAAAACCAATCACAAGCTGATGACGTGCCTGCCGTGAGAGGTTTGGCTCGACATGCAGCGGCGCCGTCTCAGTCCGGCGCGGGTGAAATAATTATAATGCTGAAGGTGAGGTACAATTAGGCCTGGGCGATAAAACGGTATCGATAACGATATAAAAAATGTTCAATATAGTGCACGATATAGGCACGTGCTATGAGTGACGCAGACAGCACACACAAACACGAACATGAGTGCTGTGCCTGCCTGTGATGAGGAGATTGTGAGTAAAGAATGAATATTAGTAGAATTTAAAATAAACATTTGCATTTGAATGCAAAAATAGTACAATCCAATGTTAGATGTGCAGCGTCATCAGTGGAGCACGATATGCGGTGATGATGATGTAAGTGACGTTGTAGTTTAATGTTTTGTTAGTCTAGCCCACGAGACGCGCAGTTGCTGTGTTATTCATTCAAAATATTAGAGAAATATAGAAGCTCAATGCGGAGAAGATCTTGATTAGGTTAAAACTGAAACCAAGCCATTCACACAGAACGCATATTCAGTTAAAGGCAATCTGTGTGAAGGGCGATTCGGCTCTTTGTATTAAGCAATGCATAAATACATGATGCTGTTTTGTTCATAATTGTTTATGCAACTACTAACATAAAAATGAGTTAATTTAGACGCAATGCACATTTTTTATAGACAGTTACTTCTTTGAGTTGACAATTTAATGTGCTGCATTATTTTGCTCATTGCGCCCGCCTGTGGCCTCGGGAGACAAGCCAAAAGTTTAACCTATTTAATCTGCATATACTGGTGGTGGTTGAGGAGAGACCCCCCCACATGATTGTAAAGAGCTTTGGGTGTACAACAATACACAGTAAAGCGCTATATAAATGCATCATTCATTCATTCATTCATATAAAACATTAGAAATGAGATGTTTAATTTTTATTTAGTTTTTGACTGTTAAAACAAAAAAAAAATTTGTTGTTTGTCTCAATAAATTGAGTTAATTTAAAAATACAGTGGTTAAATGTAAATTTTTTTTTCTATTGCTCTGTTTTTAAAAAGGTTGTAAAAAATGTCAATAATTATCGATACCGAACGATATGAAACATTATATCGTTGATACATTTCTTAGCTATATCGCCCAGCCCTAGGCACAATTCATATTTCTTCATTAAATAACTTATAAAGTAATTTGAATACGTTTCTGTGAGACATAATTTCACAAACAGCGTGAGTGAATCACAGCGCGCTGCTCTCTTTCTCTCTCAAAATGCAAATGGCTTCAAATCACATCCCGTCTGCACTATAAGTGAGCTGCACGCTGCACAGTTGACCACAGGGATTGTCACTTGCACTATCGAGGCAGTGTCGCATCATCACTAGTTTATAAATTGCATTTTTTCTTTTTAATTCTTGCCAGTGTTTAAACCATTCAACGCTCGCGCGCTTTCCTGGAGACCATGCACTCATGCACACTCACAACGCACACACATAACGCCAGGTTCACATTACTTTGTTTGCAGTGCGTATGTGGTGCGTATTTTTTTCCGCACTCATGTTAACGGATTAAAGTGTTCACACTGCACACACGGTTGCAGTCTGGCAGTGCGTTTATGAGCGGTGCGTCTGCAGCAGTGCAGAGATCGTTTCCGCACCGAGTGTATTTTTGCTGCACTGCACGCGCTGAATTAAAGTAACACAGCATTGTTTGCGGTAAATATGATCATGCATTGACACAAAAATGTAGTAATTACATACATGATCAAACATTTAGGTGAGATAAATATAGATTTTTGAAAAATGTCTAAAAAATGCCCCCTCCACCCCTCAAATGAAGAAAAAAAAAATCCTCTCACAAGTCACCTAAGAGAAGAATTTATTTTCAAAAATGAAATTTATATATATATATATTTAATATATTAAAGATTATATAGATTATATTTATAAATATAATATCACCTATGAGATCAGAGAAGTCTAACATTTTTTTAGCCCAGGATTATTGCATTTTGTTCCCAAGATTAAGGCTATTTGTTGTAATTTACAGATAGAAATATGGTAATCTTACCATCAAGCTTGTCCTCACGTACTACTGACACTTTATGGCACTAAAAGCAATGGAAAACATTCAACTGAAGATCTTAAAATAATGATTATTCAGGATCAGTGTTGGGCAGTAACTAGTTACTAGTAACTTACTTTTTGCAGTAACTAGTAGTGTAACTAATTGCTAATAAGATTTCAGTAATAATATTACAGTTACCATCCATAAAACAGCCTAGTTACTTAGTTACTATTGATGCCACAACCCCGCTGATTTAAAATCCAACAATCAAATAATTCCTAGATTTATTTTCATAATTTTCACGACTGGCACATGCATGTGATGTCCCCAGTGCAGCAGGCAAGCTTGGAATATGGAAAAGCTTACATTCAGCAGATAGAAATATTGCATTATATTGGTTTTGTCAGGAAAAAAAAGATGATCTGAACACTGTTGTGTAAGTTGTGGCTTTACTTTACTCTGCCATTACATCCCACCCACATCCCTCTGATCAGCATGTGGTACATTATCAAATTAAAAATCTTTTTGGCAGTTTCTTACATACTTATGTGATTTGATAAAATACATAATGAAAGCTTCAAGCTACACATGACAATTAATGAGATTAATACAACACTTCTACTTGAATGTCACTACCAATCACTATTGAGTGTTTGTAATAACTTCTGACTGCGATCCAATGTGGATTTTGGTCAAATGATGAGGCAGAAATATGTTGTTAGTAACATTCTAGAACAATTTTATGTGGAAGATACACAGTTACAACTTCTGTGGGGTGTGAAGAAAAAGTAATGTAACTAGTAGTGTAACTAATTACTGTTACCAGAAAGTAATAAGTAAAGTAACAATATTACTTTTGAAAGGAGTAACTAGTAATGAGTAATATATTAAATTCGTTGAGTAACTAGCCCAACACTGTTCAGGATTAATTTCACAAAGGTTAACCAATTATCAGGTCTCAATCCTTACCGTACTACCATTCTCAACACATTTCCCAGATACAAGATAGGTGGCATGAAGTGGAGTCCCTGAACTTTCATTGCGTTTCTGCTGCAGATAATGATACAACATTCTGCAAAATTGTTACATGAACATTAGTGATTCCAACAGATCAAATTCTTGGAAATATTAAAAGTGGTGTCAATAAAAAGGACAGGACTTACTGTTTTGCTGTGTTGACGTGGACTCCAAGAGTTAAACTGAGCCATTTGTAGGTGACCTGCAAAAATCAGATTTACGTTAAATGCTGAATAGTTGATAATATAGCTAACAACTATTCTCACACGTCTGTATAGACTGAATAATGGCTTGATTACTACAAAATTACATTTTTAATGTGATTACTATAAAACTCATAATATGTACCTTTAACTACACGCTAGCAGTCAGTCAGTAAGTAAACTGATTTCTCACTAGCATTAAGGATAGTACGAATTGTTTGCTCGCTTAGAGTCGGATTTAATTCAATAAGATGCAACATGGGATCGTTCGCTAAAAAGAACCTAACGTTACTCGTAAGTGTCATTCTTTCAGAAATCAGACGTCATGAAAATCATTCGGTAAGTTACCGGTATTTGTCTTGGTACCCAACCCGGGACAGTCAAGTAGACAACCATGCAGTCACATGTAAGCATTTTGGTATCTCAACCGACATTTCACATTTACAGATGACAAGAACGATATCAATATAAAGAACGACTTACGATCTTATTTTGATCATTCACAAATTCGTCAATATTGTCTAAATACAGATCATCCATATCCGGAACGACTGGCTGCTACTCCAAGTTTACGCTTGTGATTAAAAGAGTCGCCAAACGCGGGAACTGCTGCTGAACCGTACTTACTTCCGGTCATGTGGGCTAGAGCGTCGAATAGCAGAGGTAGGTAGTCAACACACTGCACAACACAACACGTGTATTCGCTTTTTATTATGCTTATGCCACCTGTATTTTATCATAGAATGTTAGTAGGTTTGCAACTCTTTCAGTTGCTTGCAGGTTCTTGTACTTTTTATTCGACGAGCTCTTGTAACACTTATGACCATGGTATGAAACCTGTCATAATTCCTATAAATAACTTGAAATATCTGTAACTTACTAACAGCGTAGTAGTTACTACAGTAAAACAATGCAAGTTTATTGTTATTTTTATTCTATTCTAGACTAGACTAGACAGTGGTGCCCATAATTTTTTTTTTTAGCAACAATAACTTGTTACTATTATGTTATTATTTTTTATTAATTTGATAATTTAAGTTATAATTTAATAAATATTATTATTATATAGATTAGTTATTTTAAGTTATGTATAGGTATTTGGGCAGAATATGGTTATGGTAAAGTTTTAATGTATTATTTAAAATGGCACTTGCTTTCTACTCAGTGATCAGTCTAAGTTGCAAAAAAATAGTTTGACTTTTCACTTTTTGGGTGCCTTAAACTGAAACAAATATCTTAGTTTTTTTCAGAAACGTGTTTCATCAAAAGTCTGTTGGAAACAAAATATTTTTCTCAAAATAGTTATTTGAAATAACTTATTACCGTAGCTGCTCAAATAAATGCTATAACCTGTGTGCTCTATGCACTATAAGTCAGTTAAGTAGATTTTTCACCTTTGGTTTCATTTCAAGCTGATAGTTGACAACCACAGAACTGTTTTTTTTTTAGAAAAGCTCCTAGGTCATATTACAAGCACATTGTATTTGAGAACGTGTTTAAAAAGCCTTTGAATCACAATTTCACAGAGAGGTAAACAATAGCCATTAGTTTTATTATTCCATCAGTGCTGTTATATATTCAGTCAAATGAACAATTTATCATAGGCCCTCCATGTTATAAACTCTATGATTCCCCTTAACATGATGGTTTGAAATCCTTGATCATCTGATGCTATTAGGTGGACAAAGAGTTTAATATACAAAACCATTTAAAATATGTTAATCCTTATGGCATCTCCATGTACATTACACCAAATCAAATATGAAGGCATGTGATGAGTTAAGGTACAAACAGAAAATTATCATAGGTAAGCCTGGATTCACATGGTGGACTTTTGAGGAACATAATTTTCAGTTTTCAAAGAAAATGTGATACACAGCACCTGGAAAAAAAAGGAAAAATACAAGAATATTTTAATATAGTTTATAACTGACGTGACAGATTATTGCTATGATATTAGTCATATACCAGAACTTACAAGAATCCCTTGCCACAGCCTAAGGGTCCAAAGTAAAGCTCTGAAGGCAGACACACTCCTTGTCTGCAAACTCCACTGAGACTTGCACAGCTCCAGGGAAATGACACAGCCTCATTCTCTTTGCCTTAGAAAGAAATTAAATGCTTTAGCACTGAAAGATCCTGTAAAATGAGCCAAAATTGATTTGGAGCCATGTATCCATGATTTTTAGCCATGGGTTTTGTTATTCTGCTGTTCAAGCTGAACACTTTTAGGTTTACACAAGTACAAATGTCTTAAATAAAAAGTTAGTCAATTTAAACACTTCTATCACTAAATGCAAAAAAAGCCCAAACTTACAGTTCAATGCTAATATGGCAAGGACAAGCAAGACAAGTATACTCTGAGGTTTCATGTTGGTATCTTCGGATGATGATGGCACTCCTAGGACGTTTGCGCAGTACTTTGGTCAGGCTCGGTCGTATTTTCTAAGTGACCCTGGAAGGAGGAGTGAATTTGAAGCCACACCAATCACTTTTTTTAAGTTAAAAATTGAATTATGTAGCAGAATGAATGGACATACTGTGCTTAATCTTATTTGGTGTAATTAGAAAATACCAATACACAAAGAGTACCATCATGTGTTTGAGGCTGCAGCAAATTATCATGGTAAAAAAAAATATCACCTGATCTGAAACACATGCTTATCCTGACGGCTATCATTTTTTGGTGTCTTAACAATCTTGAGATCCTCACATTGCTGAGATGCTGGTCTCTATAGGTGACTCTTGACTGAGTATTTGCAGATGTGGCACAACACAAAAAATGCAGTGATATTGACATTTTAGTTTGGAGGATAAAATTCACAAAAATGTAAAATATTTTTTGAACAATATGTTCAAAACATACCGAACACAGAGAAACACTTTTTGAGAAAGACATTTCTCAACAACACTTTTTTACACACATTTGTATAATTGGAATTTTGACTCAAAACCTTATAGTTATGGCTCTTGTGAAAACTTCCTTGCTGTATCAACTAAATGTAAAGCAAATATTACAATAATATTTCATTTACAATAATGTACTTAAAGGGGTCATATGATGTTGCTAAAAACATAAACATTATTTTGTGTATTTGGTATAATGAAATGTGTTTATGCGGTTTAAGGTTAAAAAAAAACATTATTTTCCACATACTGTACATTATTGTTTCTCCTCTATGCCCCGCCTTTCTGAAATGCGTCGATTTTTACAAAGCTCATCGGTCTGAAAAGCGAGGTGTGCTCTGATTGGCCAGCTATCCA